TCTCTCTCTCTCTCTCTCTCTCTCTCTCTCTCTCTCTGTCCCTCTCCCTCTCTCTCTGTCCCTCTTTCTCTTTCTCCTTCTCTCTCTTTGTTATGAGCTCACGACGTATGTGCATGCGTGTACGTTTATGTTGTGTAGTTAAAAGATTTTGTTTTTGAAAAAACACAATATCCCCATACAAAAATCTGTTCAGGATCTGGTTTGATTCCAGTCTCGTCGGGATCTTGCAGAGACCAGATACATCACCCAATCAATCACGCGCCAATACTTTTTCTATCCTGTGATCTTCTGCTTAAGTGACTAGCCATGGCGTCTAATTCGTTCATCAATAATATGGAAAACATTATGCAGTTGTGAGTCTCGGCGCGTGGAAATCTTTGAAGTTCGTTATTCTAAGACATATTGATCGTTTTTGTTTGTTTGTTTTTGTTTTTGTTTGTTTGTTTTTAACAAAATGCCTTCAAACTCAAACCGTGTGTGGTTGCAGGGTGCTCTGGTGTGGTTTGCTCCTTCTTTCCTATCAAACATCTATCGTCCTTGTCTCTCATCCTCCTTTTTGTGTTTGTTACTCCCTTGTAACACCTCAAATCTTCGGCACTTATATGACCTTATTGTGTTGCAAGCGCCGTAAAACTCTTACGAAAACCCCAAAACTCAAACCGTAAAGTCAAGTGAAGTGTTGCGAATAAACGTGAAATCTACCCTCTTGTGTCCTGAGAGCTCAAATGAAATTATTATGTAGTCGCGAGCGCTGTAAATCTCTTACCAAAATGAACTTTCGAATGTATTTTCCTTTCAGAACTTCTCTCTCTCTCTCTCTTTCTTTCTTTCTCCCCCACCCCCCATGCCACACCTTTTCCCTTTCTCATTTACGAGTTCTAATGGCTGAGGTTAAAACCGTCTGGTTAGTTAATAAGTTCACGACCCTGTTTTTCTCTCTCTCTCTCTCTCTCTCTCTCTCTCTCTCTCTCTCTCTCTCTCCCTCTCTCTCTCTCTCTCTCTCTCTCTGAGGTGTGGGAAAATCGTTAGATTTTTTACGTGGGTTTATGAAATAGTGATAAGGGGTGTGCCTCCAACAGTTTTGGGCGCCGTTGTGAATAGCAAGCTAAGCTGACGTTCATCAAGTCTTTTCTCTGTCAATCTGGCAATTCGAAGTGATCTGAAATAGTGGCCTGAAATATGAAAATGCCAGGTAAGTGTAAGTGGTGCTTTATTAATCAGAGTCAAAAACACCGTAACACAGACTCAGTCTAACTATAAGTTTGACTAATGACTTCTGATCGTGTTGGGAATAGGTTTTGTGTTATGTGAGGCTGAAGTCAAGATTGTGTGTATGTAAAGTGTAAAGGGGGGGG